CTGTGATTGTGCCACTGCACTCCAGCCTGGGTGACCGAGCAAGACTCTGTGTCAAAAAAAAAAAAAAAAAAAAAAAAAAAAGAAGAAGAAAGAAAAGAAAAGAAAGAAAGAAAGGAAAAGAAAAGAAGAAAAGAGAAAAGAAAAAATAAAAGAAAAGGAAAAAAAAATCTCTTTGTAGACGAAGTGGGTGATAAGGTGGCTCTTTTCAATTAGGGAACACATCCCTTACTTTGAAAGGTCTATTTTCAGGCCCAAAGCAATTAGTTTTATTAGGCACCAAAAGAAGAAACATTCATTTCTTGGGTTGTTCTAGATTCACCTGCAAACTATGCTTCTCGGGCAGGAGTTAGTAGGGATGAGAACCCATTTATATATATCCTTATTTGGGTATCCATACTGGTAGAGAATCTCATTTATAAATTAATCAAACGAATTTTTCAACATGTTCATTTTGAAATGTTTTTGATAGCCAAATCCTTTACTGTCTTTCCTATACCACTGTATCTCAAGTTTTTTAACTGGTTGTCATATTACAAAAATTAATGTATTAAATATTTTCTCAGGTATGCAAGTATGCCTTGTGTGCTTGTATATAGATGCATTCAACAGATGGTTGATATTTATAGAATTCTTGATTCAGCACCTTTATAAACTGATTTGGTGCCTATGGTCCTTATTCATTTAGATAATATAACTTAAAGGGTTTGATTTCATGTCAGTCCTTAAGTTTAGAAGCTCGGTGGTGAAGCAAAAACATTATCTTTTTTAGATATTCCCAACTGTGACCACAATACTTAAAGTGGCCACAAAACTTTATTTTCAACTAAACAATTGACTTATGTTTTACTCTATGTAAACTCAGCCATATTGCTCCTATTCACTGTATACCCATAAAACTACACAAGTATCTCTTAGGCTGACATGAGAATACAATGACTATAGAACAGAGATCAAGCCTTAAAAAAAAAAAAAAAAATCGGTAGGGTTATACTTAGAAAGTAAATTTCTCAAGGCCGGCCACAGTGGCTCACCTGAGGTGAGGAGTCGAGACCAGCCTGACCAACCTGGAGAAACCCCATCTCTATTAAAAATACAAAATAGCTGGGTGCAGTGGCACATGCCTATAATCCCAGCTACTTGGGAGGCTGAGGCAGGAGAATTGCTTGAATCCAAGAGACAGAGGTTGTGGAGAGCCGAGATTGCGCCATTGCATTCCAGGCTGGGCAACAAAAGTGAAACTTTGTCTCTAAATAAATAAATAAATAAAGTAACTTTCTCAAAGAATTTAACAATACTAAGGTGGACAGGAAATCTTTTTCTTTCCATTAAGACAAATTCATACCAAAAGCAACATCAGAAAGTTATTATGCCTGTAATCTCAGTGTTTTGGGAAGCTGAGGTCGGAGGATCACTTGAGGCCAGGAGTTCAAGATCAGCCTGAGCAACATAGTACATGACTCTGTCTCTACAAAAAATAAAACACAAAAAAATAACAAAAGTTACGTGATGGCACATGCCTGTGGTTCCAGCTACTCGGGAGGCTGAGGCAGCACGATTGCCGGAGGCCAGGAGATCGAGGCTGCAGTGAGCTATGATCATGCCACTGTGCTCCAGCCTGGGTGAAAGAGCGAGATCCTGCCTCTTTTTAAGAAGAAAGGATAAAGAAAAAGTGATTGTGACTATTTCACATTGGGTCACGTATCTTTATTGCATAAGTAATGGTGTCTGAATCTTACATATCAAAGTCAAGCTTCTTGGTTTCCCACAGTTAATTCTGAGAACAATGTCCAGAAGAATGCAACACAGGGAAGGCCCAATTGCGTACTTCCCCTTACCTGGGAGGTGGGGAGACGTGAAACAAAGGCAAGCCTTTTCTAGCCTTCAATCCTCTAACTGCAATCAATTGCCTCTAAACATTTTGGTTTGGCTACCCTTCCCATCCATGTTTACAGGTTCCAGAATCTCAGAATCTCAGTTCTCCAACCTTGCAAAGTGAGGCTAACACCAAGGCAGGCTTGAGTCAGTGTCTGGCCCTTTTTCTCCAAGTCAGTACTAAACTCAAAGGGGAGAGGGTTAACATAAAGAAAGCACTTTTCAAACACTAGCAAAGAGCTCTTGACTCTCTGCCCCTCTTTTTGGCACGAGTACACACAGACACAAACACACACACGTGCACATGCAGGCACAGATGTTCAAATCACATGGCAGTGTCCTTCTGCCCTTTCAGTGGAGGATGCACATGAGGAATTGGTGAAGGAGGGCAAATGTGCTGGGTGTACCACAATGCAAACATCTTTGATCTGGATTCACTGTGCACTATTTTAGGGACTCTGATATAAGTATGTCCAAGATTAACAATGGTTGCTGGGGTTGGCAGAGGTTCAAGAATCAGATATTATTTCCTTAATTATAACAATCATCTCCCCACCTACCCTCAACTCCACCCTCATATGCCCCAACAAATACTTGCAATTTATGATGAAAATATCAAATAAGGAGTGAATAGAAACATACTAGAAAAAATTGTTTCCTGACAGTTTATGGCCTGGAGATGAGAGAGAGAACAACCAACATAATGTATGCAATCAGTGAACTAATCCTTATTATCACCCAATTCTAACATGAAAAATCCTATGAGCACCTATTTTTCATAATAAACCATTCTTTAGAATCTTTATCTTCACTCTGGTGAACATACGTTTTCTCTGTAACCAGAGTCACCCATGTATCCTGGCCACTCCACGACAGTCACGGTTACTTATTAACAATTAGTGACACCTGGCTGGCGCAGTGGCTCATGCCTATAATCTCAGCATTTTGGGAGGCTGAGGCATACAGATCACCTGAAGTCAGGAGTTCAACACCAACCTGGCCAACATGGTAAAACCCTGTCTCTACTGAAAATACAAAAATTAGCTGGGCGTGGTGGTCATACGTCTGTAATCCTAACTACTAGGGAGGCTGAGGCAGGAGAATCGTCTGAGCCTGGGAGGTGGAGGTTGCAGTGAGCCAAGATCTCACGACTGCACTCAAACCTGGGTGACAGAATGAGACTGCATCTCAAAAAACAATTAGTGACACCTGTTGTCTGTGACTAATTTATTAATAGGCACCTCTTGGTTTAGACAATAAGTGTCCTGTTTGGACAATAAATTATATGGTTGCCGGGCGCGGTGGCTCAAGCCTGTAATCCCAGCACTTTGGGAGGCCGAGGCGGGTGGATCATGAGGTCGAGAGATCGAGACCATCCTGGTCAACATGGTGAAACCCCGTCTCTACTAAAAGTGCAAAAAATTAGCTGGGCATGGTGGCACGTGCCTGTAATCCCAGCTACTCAGGAGGCTGAGGCAGGAGAATTGCCTGAACCCAGGAGGCGGAGGTTGCGGTGAGCCGAGATCGCGCCATTGCACTCCAGCCTGGGTAACAAGGGCGAAACTCCGTCTCAAAAAAAAAAAAAATAAATAAATAATAAATAAATTATATGGTCACCCTACTGTAGATGAACTCTGAGAGGCAATCAGGTGGCTATTTTCATGTCTGTAGTGTTGTCCAGTTTTTATGCTGTCCATTCTTCCAGTCCTCAAAACAACCAAATCGCCTCAGCAGAATCTGCTGTCGCTGTGCATCCAGGCTTTTTAGCACCGGCCTACAATTTGGCTTTCCCTTTGTGGGCCTGAAGTTGACAGCACTATTAGCCTTGAAAAGATCACTTTGCCCCAGTATATTTCTCTTTCTTCCCTGGCACTGACTTTTGGAAAGGCAGAGGTGGTAAGGTCTTAGAGAAGTTTTCAGATTTCATTTGTGGCAGGGGAGTGGCAGTGAAGGAGCAGTGGGAACCCCTTTCCCCTTGAAGTCTTGCTCAGATCCCTACTGTGTGAAGTCAAAGAAAGCAAAGATTCTCTGGTGGAACTGGGAGGTAAAGGCACGGTTGCATGGTCTCACCCACAAAAGACTTCCTTCTCTGTTGCTTCTGCTCATGGAGGCCCTTAGAGCAAGATCCTGCTCAAGAACAGAGTCTATCAGCTGGGCACGGTGGCTCTTGCCTGTAATCCTAGCACTCTGAAAGGCCAAGGCAGATGGATCACTTGAGGACAGGAGTTCGAGACCAGTCTGGCCAACATGGTAAAACCCCATCTCTACTACAAATACAAAAACTTAGCCAGCTACTAGGGAGGCTGAGGAAGGAGAATCGCTTGAGCCCCAGAGGTGGAGGTTGCAGTGAGCTTAGATCCTGCCACTGCACTCTGGCCTGGGCACTAGAGCAAGACATTGTCTCAAAAAAAAAAAAAAAAAAAAAAAAAAAAAAAAAAAAAAAAAAAAAAAAAAAAAAGAAGAAGAAGAAGAACAAGAAAATAAAAGAATAGAGTCTATCTAAACCAATTCATTGAATTTACCAATGAGGAAACATTCATTTCATCAGTTCCTGGTCAAATATTACAATTTCACTTTCTGTATTAGTAATCCTACAAATCATGAGCCAACAGCAGTATGGTACACACTAATTGCCATAGAAACCTATCTTCCAAAGAGCTGAGTACACCTCCTAACAAGGAAACACATGTTCATGGTGATTAAATGTTTTTCTAGACTATAACTAGCAGGCTCATAGTCACACAAAACAACCAAATGTGGAGCCTGTGTGTGTATATTTCTTTCTGTAGAAAGGAAGTAGAATAAGAGCTAAAATGGGTACGGCAGCATTAACCCACTTTTAAAATGAAGATTCCTGAGTAAACAGATATTTCCCCTTCTAAGAATAGCTAGAAAAGAAACCACAATAATAATGATAGGTGAAGAGTCTGATCTCAGCATTGCTTAGTAACTCTAAAATGTACATGTATAAGGACAAAGTGTAGGAGAGAAGAGGTAAGAGAGGAAGAAAAGGCTGCTATTGAGCCGACAGAATTCTGGTGATTTATTTTTCTACCTTTCCCAAACGTTCTTTTAACATGAAACAAAACAAAACAAAACAAAAAAACAGAGAAGACAAGAGTGCTTACCACGGAGACCTTGCTCACAACATCTCCAGCAACCGCTAAGCCTTGAGCAAAAGTACGGGCTGCTACAAAGGCACGAGTAACCTGAAGCTTTAATTTGCGAGGGACATCTCCAAAGGGCTTCAGCTGCTCCGTATACTTGCTCACACATTCTAGATACTCATCTGTAAAGTGGTACTGGGAGTTCACCAGGCGGAACATCCGCTCCAGGAGGCGAGCCCAGAAGTCATTCAACATTTCTTCCAGGTTCACATTTCCCACCACGTAGTAACGCTTCAACTCTACGAAGAGATCTTTAAATAGCTCAGAATTTTGCATGTATAAATGGCCATATGTCTTCACAAACATATCATTCAGGGATTTCTCTGCATTTTCAAGTAGTTCTTTGAAGAATTCTAAAAACAAAACCAAAAAAAAAGGAAAAAGAAAAGTTTTCAGTATTTAAATAACTGCTTTTCTAGTAAATTTGTAAACTGAAAAAAAAAACCACACAACTAAACTAGAAAACATGTTTGTATGAACGAAACATTTGTCAATGAAAGGAAAACTATGTCACAAAGTCACTTACATAGATGTCTGAGAGAGGAAAATAAATGAAAATGTAAACCAACAACTTCTCAGGAGTCAGTACAACACTCATTCTCTCATTCTCATTCTCTCTCTCTCTCTCTCTCTCTCTCTCTCACTGTCATAGGTGGATAAAGAAAAATTGGGGGAAAAAGTGGGCACGTTAAGTCTAAAACATGAGATTTCCTAGAATTTTTTACTTCAGAATATAAGCCAAAGTTAATCATGCCTCCTAATTGTAACCTAAGACCAGGACATGTGTTTTCAAAAGTTGTTATTTTACTTGGGCATAAATTTCTTTTTCATTTCTTCTTTTTACTTATCTATACAATCATGCACTATAGCTGCCTGGAAAATGCTTGAGGCCAAGAAACATACTCAAACTCCCCTACAAGCAAGCAGGTGAGTTTTCTGAATATAAGTTCCTGGGTGTTTCTCTTTGACAGTAGCACAAATTGGGAGTATCCAGTGATCTGGGTTTCTAAAGGATTCATACAATAACATCATGTGACTATTTTCAATGTTCCTTGTGTGTGTGCGCGCACACGAGAGAGAGAAGAATGCATAACGGACTTAATCATAAATATAGTGTATTTCAGATCAACTTTTTGACTACCATATAGCCACAGCCTAAGTATTAGAGATTTTAATCTCTCAACTACAAATGGCAAACTAGTTCACATCTGAAGCTTTCCTCAGGAACTTCAATGAAAAAACAAGCCAACAGTGTATCTATAACATTAATCATTCTTAAAGAATCTCTTGCCTGTTATAAAAATAAACACCTCGTGATATCAAGTTTATAAGCAGGAAATATAACAAATACCAAAGCAAAATATAAGGACCACATCAAATAAGAAACTGCCTCTGAGTAAATATGGAGCAGAAAAGAAAATATGACACCTACTTCAAAGCCAGAATATTGGCGAGCTTAAGAAAATGCAAGTCCTACAAAACCGTTCTCTTCTCACATTGGGTAGGCATTTCCGAGACTGGCCAGCAATTCCAAATAGCTTTTCAAAACTTGGACTGAGGAAGCTGAAGTCTTTGGCAGGGAGATATAAGTGTGAGACTTTCCTGACATGCAAGGAGATTCTATACCTATGCCTCTCAGTCCCTAACTCATCATTTAGTTGTTGCTTTGAGGCCTGAGGCTGAAGTCCACAGTTCCCTCTAGTTCCAGCTTTTCAAATATTGTACATATGGTTTGTGGTTTTTTATTTTTTCTTTGCTTCTCTCCTTTTCTTTTTATCTATTTTTCCCCTACTATTGCTTGCCTTTTATTTACTAGGCTTTCTTCAGAGAAAGAAAGGGAAATTGACTCCCTCTGCATAGTAAACAAATAGGCAGGTCAACTCATCCCCATTCTAAGTGTGCAGCCTGCCATTTTTACCAAAGTTCTCTCTCTGAGAGTGAGAGGGCAGAAAGCGCACAAAGAGTTAGGGGAACAATATAAGAAGCACACCAATTAGCTACCTGGGATGACCTTTTATTCTCTGCAAAATCCCCTGAGTGGTTCTCAAAGTGTGGGCCTGGGACCAGCAGCATCAGCATCACCTGAGCACTTGCTATAAATGCAAATTCGCAACCCCACCCCAGTCTTACAGAATCAGAAACCCTGGAGGGTCCCTTTTGCTGGTCTTCATTCCATTTCTACTAAGGGAACTCTCAGTACCAGATAAGCAACTGGCTTGCTCACATGCCAAATGGCTTGGTAGATAGGCCAACATTTTCAACCATCTGTGATTCTGATATATCCTAAAGTTTGAGAACAACTGCTATAGCCACTGAAACGTCTCCCATTTCACCTGTCAGTTGCAATCACCAACAACTCAGGGGCTGTGTTGTGTGTGAAGCAGTCAGGGTAAGCATTAATGTTTTAATTAAGAGAAAATGTCTTTTCAATGAATTGTGTTTTTTAATAAATTTGTTACATTCCTAGGAATGACTTTCTTACTGCCTTGGGGAAAAATTTTATTGTGTAAAACTCTTTCAACTAAGTGTTAACATAGATGATTAAATGTATGTAGCACTTTTCTAGAGTTCAAAATTGAAAAGGGAGCTTAAATGCCATCTGGTCCATGTTCCACACCATGCTTGAATTTTGCTAGCATCCTTGCCCAGTGGTGATTGCTCATGGAAGACATAAAAGAAGGCACATGTGGGTTGCGTTATTACATGACCAGTGTGTTGCACACATAGCTATCACATATTGGAAAAATAAAGCCTCGTCATCATTGGGAACAATATGCAAGCCTTGTGTCAATGCAGTGCTATTAATATTTCATGACTAAAAAGAGTGGATTCCAACAGTAACCACAGGTCCTTCCTTATACTGAATTTTTATTATATTGCTCATAAAATTGGCATGCATCAGAAGAAACTAGACATTCAGAATTATTTGACTTGTGCTTTCATACTTATTTAGCAGGTAACTCTCAAAACTCACTTGCATTTTTAATGAATGTCACCTAGAGTCATGTTGGTTTTTAGGGGTGGGGTAGCATACAGTGTGGTATTTCTAGCTTAGTTTTAATTTAAAACTTCTAATGAATGTCAAGTTTTAGCCTTTTGACAAAGTGCTGAAAGTCAAACACTAAATCACTAAACATTTTATGGAAAAAATAAAACATTATCTATCTTAGAGTTCCTCATTCAGGTTAAGAGTTTATGGGTTGATGTAGCCATATATAACATAGCTACTTCGGAGTACAAGAGAAATGGCCTAATGAAGAGGACACTGATCTGAAACTGACATGCCCCTGGCCTAATGAAGAGAACACTGATTGGAAACTGACATGCCCCTGTCCAACACCCACCATGAACCATACTTTGGCTTCCAGGACTCACATTATGTCTAGGAGAGTGAGTGAGTGAGTGAGTGAGTGAGTGTGTGTGTGTGTATGTTAGTTTATACTTTCAGAGCCTAGCTTGGTGCTATATGCATCCTTAATCCTAATTCATTGCATCATTCAGAAAATTAATTTTCTTCCCTTCACATTTTAAAAGACTCTTTAATGTGACTATATAAGTTGCAAATATAAAGACCATTTGAGTGAGCATGTGGTTAATAAATGCTTGAGAAATTCTGTAAAACTGATAGAACGAGTTAAAACATCACAATGTAATTTCTCCAAACGGCTATGCAATTTGACAAGTATGTACTGAGTGGCTATTATGGGCTCAAATCAAAGTACATGTTGTTTTACCATGCATCTTAACCTTCTTCCTGCCCAATCAGACCATAATGAAAATTTCTGGTAAGACAAATTTCCCCCCATTCAATTCACCTTCACTATACACTGCCACTCTCCACGTATGGTTTTATGAGAACACCAGAGATTTTTTTAAAACACCTATAAAATTGTTAATCTTTCATTACATATAACAAGTTCCTAAATATTCATCTATTTAATCTATGAGAGTCAACCAAACAAAAATCAGGGGATCCAGAAGACCAAGATTCTTTTTTTTTTTTTTTTGGCTGATTCTTACTAGCCCTGTTACATGGGACTATTCAACCTATGCCTTTTGCCTTTTGCCTCAAAGGGACCTCATAAGGATGGCAGACATCATTTAAATTCTAAAATCCATACCAGTTAGGTACAATATCAACTAAAGCATAATAATTTGCTATTAGAAAAAAAAGGGGAAAAATCCTTTTGCATCTGTTCCTCCTATTAAACTAGCAGCTCGCATGTTCTTGCATAATTCTTTCACATCCCCAATCCTCCTTTCTATTCCCATGACATTTACTTCTACAATGAGGAATGAAGCATAAATTAGCCATTCAGATCCTGTTCCACAGCCATCAATGGCAACTTCAGTAATCGCTGCAATGCTTATCTCCATTTTTTTTCAATTATTCTCAGAACTCCTAATCAGGGTCAGATCTTAACTGTTGAAGAAGAGCTGTACAGGCCCTAGACACCTAGCAATCATTGCTCATAATCATTACGCCTGAAAATAATTACAAAACATTTGGTGACTAAGAAAGAACCAGCCAAGAGCAATGTAAACCAGGGTTCCACAACAATCAGAAGCCAAACAAATTGGAAGTTAGATCTCCCATGCAGCAATTGCTTGTATTCATGAAAAAATGCTGCTCAGGGAATCTGTTTTAAGTAAAGCTACCAGTGTCTGAAAGAAAGTTAGAGAGGTGATGGTTTACAAGCATTTGAAATATAGTGCCTGTGATCAGGGTTTATTTCCCCTCCAATTTTCAGTTTGAAGGCTTGGGTATATATGTTCTAAAGATAAAGCAGCTGCTACTCCTTGAACTCATGAATGGCCACTCAACACAGGGATGGAAATAAACACTGTAACATGCTATGAATCTAAAGCAGCAGGACACAGTGGGAAAAACAAGAGATCTCTCACTCAGGGGCTGTATGACCCTGGTTAGGCAAAAGGCCTAATCTCTCCGAGCCTCTTTTATCCCCTCCAGAAAATGGGGCTATTATCACTCACCTCATATGGCTAATGTTTGGCATAAAGTAGATGCATAATAAACATTATTACTAATATGTGAGATGATAGTGTTGTCACTCTTACAGTTTCTTTGTATCTACATTCATTTTTAAAGAAATCTTTAAAGACTGGTTTTTATCTTTCCTAGTGGAGTCAAACATTATCCATCCGAGGGGACATAAATGAAGCCAAAGTTGCTGGAGGTCTCCTAAGAAGACTCAAGACTTTATAAAATTGGGAGCTGTTTATCCTAAGGGAAATCCTTAATGATTCTACCTTCCAAGGTTGTGAAACATCCCAGACATCTATGAGGGTGGGAGTGACTGCTGGATGAAAAATAGGGAATGGGGAAACCTCA